TTAGGTGCATATACATTTAGGAGTGTAAAATCTTCCTGTTGTACGTATCCCTTGATAAATAGAAAATAGCCTTCGCTGTCCCTTCTAATCTTTTTCAATCTGAAAGTTATGTTGTCGGATACTAGTATGGCCACCCCAGTTTTTGAGGAAGCTGTTTGTTTGCATGATTATTTTCATCCTTTAACTTTGAGTCTTTGTTTGCTCTGACTGTTGAGATGTACTTCTCAATCAGCAGAATATTGGGTTCTGTCTCTGAATCCATTTTGCCACTCTGTGTCTCTTAATTGGTGAATTTAGACCATTGATGTTGAGAGAGATTATTGTTATGGGGTTTTCTGTCATCTTTTTGTAAGGGTCTGCTGTGGTTGTGGGGTTTATCTTGTCTTATAGTAGCCCCTTTAGCCCTTCTTTTAGGTTTGGTTTTGAGTCTATGAAGTTCCTAAGCTGCTGTTTATCGAGAAAATAGTGTATCATTCCTTCGAGTTTGAGTGAGAGTTTAGCCAGATAGGGTATTCTTGGTGAAGCATTCATTTCAGTGAGTTTTTTCACTGTGTCCCACCATTGCCTTCGGGCTTGGAGGCTTTCCTCTGATAGGTCTACTGTGAATCGAAGGAGTGTTCCTTTTATATGATTTTCGTCTTTGACCTTGCTGCTTGCAGTGTTGTGTCTCTGTCTGCGGCATCCATAATTCTAACTATGATATGTCTTGAAGTGTTTTTGTTAGGGTCTCTTTTAGCGGGCTCGCTTTGGGCTCATTGAATCTGAATGGCTACATTGTCCAGCTCTGGGAATTTTTCAGCAATGACTTTTTAAACGCGGCTTTTCCATTGGGATTGTTTCCCTGAGCTTCTGGTACTCTAACGATTCTAATGTTGTTCCTCTTGGAATCAACTCCTAGGACCCTGAATCGCTCTAGAGCTATTTTGCGGTCTCTTGCCATTTTCTGTTGTTGCCTGTAGGCTTCGTGCTGTTGATCTTCCAACTCACTGATTTTGTCTTCAGCTGTGGCCATTCTACTGTTGAAGGCACAGACTGAGTTTTTTATTTCATCTACCAAATCTTTTATTCGTGACATTTCTGTGTGCAGCTTTCAAATTTTTGCTCTCATTTCTTCCCGTATTTTCTCAATTGTTTCTTTCTTGTCCTCCTTTAATTTACTGTATATCTGTCTGACTGTTTCATTGAGTTCATTGAACATCTTCATTACTTCTTATCTGAATTCTTTCCCAGAGAGGTCCCTTAGGTGAGTAGCACCTACTGAGGCTTCTGGACTCTTCATCATCCTTCCCTAGTGGTGGGGATTTGCATTATTTCTTTATGTTGGTGAGGAGGTATGGAGACTGAGATGTACATGAGATTGCTGGATATAAAATACCTGCAGCCCCAAACTAGGCCACGCCCACTTCAAAGAGGCCACACCCACTTCTGAATAGGCCACGCCCACCTCTACAGAGGCCATGCCCACTTCTCAAGATGCCACACCCACACCAGTATGTGGTGTGTGGGCGGTTACAATCTGAGGGAGGAAAAAGACCAGGCATAGTGTTGGGGATGAACAGCAAGAGGCTGAGGGATGATGGGTTTCCCAGGGTCCTAGAGGATGCTTGGGGCTTGTACGCAGAGAAAACCAAGTCCCGGGTTTGAGCACTATAACTGACCTGGAGGAGAAAGAAGACTGGGCATAGAGTTGGGGACGAACAGGAAGAAACACTTATGGCTTTATGTACACATTAACTCTGACATGACATTCAATTTGTGTGTGTGTGTGTGTGTGTGTGTGTGTGTGTGTGTGTCTGTAATTTTGCCAGGGTAAGCAATAGTCACCAATTTCACCTCCCTGAAACTCCAAATAAAAGAATCTATTCTTAAGCTTTAATCTGTTGTATAATAATACCTTTTTTGTTTTTTTTTATTTGAGCCACATCCAGCAGTACTCAGAGACTTATCCTGACTGTGCTCGAAAGTGATTCCTGTACTGCTCAGAGAATCAATGTAGTGCTTTGGATTCAAATAAGAATTGCAGCCAATGTAGGTGAATTCTAGGCAAATGCCTTACTTACTGTATTCTCTCTCTGGTGTGAAACAATAACTTTTTAACTTAGAAACAAGACCCATCTTTTTACCTGAAAAACTGTGATTTGAGTAATAAGGAAGATAGCAAGCTAGTAAAAATCAATATTAACTAAAGTGAGATAATTTGAAATGATGAAGGCAGAAGAAATGTGTTAAATGTTTGCTTGGGTAAATTAAATTAACTTGAATTTAAATTAAAGTAGCTATAAGCAATTTTTTTTAATAGTCAAATTCTGAGAAATAAGAACCAGGGGTATGTCTGAATTTTCAAATGCAAAAGTACACAAAGCAAACAAAAACTTTTTAGTAAGTTAGATAAGTAGGCAGATGTAATAGATAGATGATAGATGATAGATAGATAGATAGAATTCAAATGTATTAGCTGAAATGTGCTATGGAATTCAATTCAATCAGTCCCCTTTTTGTTCTGAAATTTCCCCTCTAAGTTTATGAACATTAATGTACCTGGGGCGAGGTTATATTTTATGTAGAGGATAAAATGTCGATACTTTGGCTTCTAAATCCAAAATAGACTCGAGACTCATAGCAGAAAAGTATTCTTGAACACCAGGTTTCTGGAATTGAAAAGATCAAATATTGCATTGGAAAATGGAAAATATTGCATTGGAAGTGGAAAATGCATTGACAATGGAAAAGAGTATAGTGAAAGGAAGGAGGAACCCATTTTTCAATTGACAAAAATTCTAATAAGTCTGGAAGTCTGAGAAATACTATATTGGCTCACTTAATCACTTAATCACTTAACTTCCCGTTAGTCGTCGATTTGCTCGAGCGGGCGCCAGTAACGTCTCCATTTGTCCCTGTCGCGTGCTAGTGTAGCCCAATGGCATCTCTTCGCTCCGGGAACATGGAGGGCCTCAAACCGATCGTTCATGACCTTGACAAAGAAGTCTGACCATCTGGTAGGTGGGCGGCCACGCGGTCTCTTGACATCCCGTGGAATCCAATCAGTAACAGCTCTAGTCCAACGGTCGTCTTTAAATCTCATTACGTGACCAGCCCATCTGATTTTCGACACCTTGGCAAATGAGACAGCGTCCCTGATCCTTGATCGTCGACGGATGTCAGAACTCCGGATTCGTTCTCTCATTTGAGTGAAACGTGATATTCCAAGCATAGCTCTTTCTATTCTTCTTTGGGAGACCTGAATGGCGTTCTCATCTTGTTTGCATAGGGCCCAGGTCTCTGAGGCATATGTTAATGCAGGAAGAACAGTGGAATCAAAGAGATGTGCCCGGAGCCGGAGGTTCTTCGTCCTCTTAGCTATTTCTTCGATGTTCTTGAAGGCGTTCCAAGCCGCTCTCTTCCTCCTGCGCAGCTCGGGTGCCAGGTCATTTGTCATGTTGACCTCTCGACCTAGGTACACATAGCTGTTGCATTCGGAGATGGTCGTTCCATTGAGAGCGAATGGGGCGTCAGGAACAAGGCTGTTTCTCATAAACATTGTCTTCGTAAGATTCAGCTGTAGCTAACGTCCGAGCTTGCAAAGCAGTGCAGAGATGCGATCAAGGAAGACCTCAAAGAGAGAAGAGCAGAAGTACTGGTAGATGCGGCAGAAGCCGGGAAAAGTATTCGTAACGCCCGCCTGTCCTTCGCCAACTATAAGACCAAGATGACTGCCCTCCGACGTCCTGATGGATCCATCACATCCTCCAGAACGGCAATGGAGAAGATTATCCATGACTTCTACTCAAATCTCTTCGATAGCCATGTCCACTTGCCGACATACCAAATTCCACAGGATGGGTATGTCGTTCCCAACGTTCTCCCTTCCGAAATCCGACACGCCATTTCGTCAGTAAAGAAGCAAACAGCACCCGGCCCAGACAAGGTCAGACCTGAACACCTGAAGAACCTGCCGTCAGTACTCATCAATACACTGGCTCGGCTCTTCACTCGCTACCTGTCTGAATGCAAGGTTCCATCTCAATGGAAAACCAGCAGGACCGTACTACTGTTCAAGAAGGGAGACATCCATGACATTGGCAACTATCGCCCGATCTGCCTATTGTCTGTCATCTACAAGTTGTTCACTCGAGTCATCCTGAATAGGATTGGCAGAACACTAGATGAAGGACAACCATGTGAGCAAGCAGGGTTCCGCAAAGGATTCAGCACCATCGACCATATCCACACGATAACCAAACTCATTGAGGTTTCTCGGGAGTTCAAGATGCCGCTCTGCTTAACGTTCATTGATTTAAAGAAGGCCTTTGATTCTGTTGAGACGGAAGCGGTCATTGAAGCCCTATCCAATCAGGGCATTCAAGCCCAATACATCAGGATCCTCCGTGAGCTGTATTGCGGATTCACTACCAGGATCTCACCATTCTACAAAGAAGTGATCGTTGATGTCAAGAGAGGGGTGCGGCAGGGTGATACCATTTCACCAAAACTCTTCAGTGCCACCCTCGAGAACATCATGCGACGACTGGAATGGGAAGGAATGGGAGTGAAGATAGATGGTCGGCAACTACACCACCTCCGCTTTGCTGATGACATTGTTTTAATAACACCAAACATCAGCCAAGCGGCACAAATGCTGGCCGATTTTGACCGTGAGTGTGGAAAGGTAGGACTACAGCTGAATCTTACGAAGACAATGTTTATGAGAAACAATATTGGCTCAATATTCTTATTTGAATATTTTCAATAAACTGAATAAGATGAAGTTCTTGCAAGCAGACAAAATGACAATCATGATATAAATAATATTGTTGGGGCAGGAGAAAAAGAATAGTAAGGAACTTTCTTTACCAGCAGCTGACCCCAGGTTTGATCCTTGGAACCCCATATGGTCTCCTGAGCCCCGCCGGAAGTGATCTTTTAGTGCAAAGCCAGGAGTAAGCCTTGAGCAACACCAGTGTAACCCAGGAAACAAACACAAACAAACAAAAGAAATAATATTGCTTATGTAGCACAAATACTAAAAGTGGAAGAATAGGGAGATGTCATATGATAGAATGGCCCCTGAGCAAGAATGTCCAGCAAATGCATAAAATGTTTCATGTTTTTTGTTTTCTCTTGTTTTGTTTTTTAAGAGAAAGGGGTGAAGACATAACTTAGCAGTAGAGCACTTAACTTGCATATATGAGTTTCTGGGTTTAATTCCTAGCATTGAAAAACACTCTAATAATTAAAATAATGCATGGAAACTGGAGCTTTTTGATTACAGAAATGAGTTTACCTGGTGGTGAGGCTCTTGTGACACAGATAGAAGGAGGTGGCAGTCTGGTGTTAGGTGTGGTGGCAGAACAATTTACGTTTATGAAAAGAAAACAGTATTGTAAATCATGATGACTAAAAAATGGTAAAAAAAAAACCATAGTGTGTATATATATATATATTTTAAATATCTGGACTCACTATATAGTAAGAGAATTTTCAAAAATGTTTGCCTTTAGACAATACAATTATGACCATTTAAAAGGTATATTCTTTCATTCTTACTAATTTTTACAGGGGTTATATGTATAATTTTAATACCTATGAGAACTGATATGTACCAGAAGTATTAGCTGAAAATGAAATTGCAAAGATTGTACAAAGGAGATTTGGTCACATCTATGTAAGTAAAACACATTTCTCATTAGTGACTATATTCAGGAAAAGGAATTGTGTGTCTTACTTTGAGCATGCACACAATGAAGAGTCTTCAAAATTTCAATAAAATAGATCACCCTAAAACAGTATCTACCAGGGCCCAGGAGCCTGAGGAGCAATGGTAACTTAGACGCCTCTTATTTCTACTCTTTGATCATCTGGATAAATTAAAGTTTGGTCGTATGATGAATGAAAGGTGGGGGTACATGACACAATGAGCTTGCTAGGTAAATGGCATTGCTCTCCTCCTCCTTCAGTTCTGCCACTGAGTTACTGTCACACATTGGCACACCAAATGAATTGTTGTAATTTATTATATTATAACTTGTACCTTTTAACATCATAATCAGCTATAAATGATAAATATGATCATTTTAACATTGTGCTGAAGGCTTACATATTTAATGGTTTTATTAAAAATGAAGTCTTTCTCAGCTGTAAATTGGGCAGGAGTCCGGAGGTGTTCAGGTCAGGCCAGAGAAATCAGGTCTTGATCTTGTTTATAAAATGCTGCTTTTCTACACTCCTAAACCATCCCCTCCCCTTTGCAAAAAATTACTTTGAAACTGAGCTAGAGTTTCCATCGATGGCTCCATGGGAAACTGTCTTTTCAATAAACATAAAATGTCTTTATCAATATTAATTTTCTAGGTTATTGATGATGATTTGAAAATTTATTATTACGATGAGTAAAGATATTTTGAGGTCATAAATTTTTTTGACAAAGGTCTGAAGTAAATCTGTTTTATAGAACACTTGCCAACATAGAGTATTATTTACAAAAATGTAATTTTTGTATTTTAAGTTGAATTAATAATTATATTGTGGCAATGTTTCAAATAATGATATATGACATGTGTTTTATGATGATTTGTTAAAAATAAAAATTGTAAAGACTAGACAATTAATTAGCATACATTTGCAAGTATCCTGGGAGGTGGAAAGTTTGCCTATGTTGAATAATAGGAGACATAGGTAATACATAAATCAGTTACCATAGAATTAAATAAAAAAAATACTGGAATTGAGACGTTCTTCTTTTTCTACTCAGGTGCACATTTTAGGTATAATTATTACCCAAAGGGGCTATATTACATAGCTGGTTTAGATTAACTAAGCAAAAATAATTTCATACTTCAAAGTTCAGTAGCAGTAGGTAAAGACAATTTATGCTGTTACTGCCAAAGAAACAAGGAACATTAGAAAGAAGATTAAATATGATGATACTTCAAAGTCTCTCAGCATTACTTGTCAACATTTAAAATGAAAACTGTGTAAGGGAACTTGCATAAACTTTAGAAATACAAAGTATTTAAGTAGAATTGGTAATTTATTTCTATCCACAATTAATTGCTTCTATTTTATTAATCAAATTTCTCTTTCCTTTCTTTTTGCCTATGTTCCTGAACTTTCTATGTATTTGGACGTATGTTGAAATTACAGGTATATGTATACAAATACAAACTCTAGTGACATCCCATTAAATAAATGCTTTGGAAATGTAACATTTGGTTGTTCACATCAACAATGTTACTGAGCAGTTCTGTACCTTAGTATTTCCTGTTTATTACAAAATATGAATTTTCACACTTTCAATCACTTGATCTTCAAAATATTTATTAGTGAGGGAGCTGAGTTGTATATAAGAAAATCTAGGCCCAGGTTATAAACTTAGCTAATATTAGAGACTAAGACATGGTTTATATTTTCCTTGAGGGAGAAGAAAACTTTTAGGGTGAGACTAATACTTATTTGTAGATGAAGAATAAATAATTGAACCATATTAAAGAAAGATCTCATTGTAGAATAATAAAATTATTCTGGGTGATCTTAATTCGAGTGAATCCTTTAAAATAGTTGTTCAAATATTCTCATTTTATCTAAATAGAGGGCAGATAGAAAGATTTTGACAAACTAACTTCCCCAAAATAGAAAACTACTAAGCTGAAAGATCTACTCTGTCATTTTAAGTCATGACAATAAATATCATACCTATTAAAAATAAAATAATCTTGTTTTTCAAAATGATTTTAATTTATATTTGAATGTTTCCCTTTATCTGAAACAATTCAAGTTCTTCAAGAAATAATTCACCAAATATTTATTTAACATCTGTAGTCGACCCTGAACAATATGGATTTGATCCATGTGGATTCATATGTATAAGGAATTTTATAAACAAGTTAAGGCAAACTTTTGAGATCAATAAATACAGTACTGTCAACGTACTTTCTTATGATTTTCTTAATCACATTTATTTTCTGCAGCTTTTTTATTATAAGACTCAAACAAATAATTTATGTAGTATACAGAATATTTGCCTACTCTTTATGTTATCAGTAGGCTTTTGATCAACAGCAGGTACTGAGAAGTTAAATCTTGAGGCACTCAAAAAAATCCATAATTTTTTTCTTAGTATGAGGAGTAGATACTCAACTGCATTACACACTTAAAACACATCAAAAAATTGTGTTAGAACCTTGGTTAGACCATAGCCCAAGAGAAATGCAATCTCTACATTTATTGTGTATCAAAGACATGAACACTAACATTATATAAATAATTTACCAAATGAATATACATAGAAAATATAGTTTCTTCTCTGAAGAAACTTAGAGTGTGATGATTAAGGCAACTGATTTAGATTCAGTATTAGTAATGGCTCCCCGGAGAAAGTGATACTAAATTCAAGAGTTGAAGGAAAATAAGAAATTAGGCTAAACAGGGAAAAGAATTCCCAGCCAGAGCTCAATGAAGCTAGAGATACAGGCAGCAGAAAGTTGCTGACAAATTTGATTTCTTTTCCTTGGGAAAGTATTGGAGAATTTTAAGTGGGCAGTTACAAGGTTAAATTAGCATTTTTAGTTCATTTAACTGCTAGAAGGAAAATGAGTTGAAGGAACATAAAAGAAGATGCAGTAAGTCTAAATCAAAGATAGTGAGTTGGACTAGGGCCTTGGTTAGGAAGATTCAAAACATCAACCTGTTAGAGATACAGCTCTGTCACCAAAAGATGAACACTATGTAAACCAATTCTAATGATCAATTCTTGCGACAATGTTTCTGAATAAAATATATACTCCAAGTACTCAGTGGAATACTGTGATTCTACCTCTTTGCAGATTCCAAATCTATGAAAAATCTTAAAAAAAAAGATGAAAACATGAACTTTTGCACATTCTGAATATTGAAATGAGGTTTAAACAAAGTGTGACAGGGGCTGGAGTGATAGCACAGCCACTAGGGCATTTGCTTTCCATGCGGCCAACCTGTGTTCGATTCCCAGCATCCCATATGGTCCCCCCCACTCCCCCAGCATCACCAGTAGTAATTCCTGAGTGCATCAGCCAGGAGTAACCCCTGTGCAATGCTGGGTGTGACAAAAAAGAAAAAAAAACAAAATAAAACAAAACAAAACAAAGAAGTGTGACTTGCATGCTTTTTGAGGCTTTGTTACCGTTAATTTTCTTAAAAACTTCAGTATAGACTTCAACCTGTCAGAGTACAGGAAATCCAGTGTTTCATCAGTTTTATTTCTCCAGGATTGTCTGAGTTTAACCAAAGCAAACACATTTCCCAAATCTCTCCTGGAGGCTACCTACCATTTTAGCCAAGCAAAGGTCTCTAAACCACAGCATGGCTCGTGTGCTGGTTCTCATGAGTAGTCTCGAGACTGGCCTCTCTCCATAGGTGGTTACTCCTTTCTCATCTCTCCCTTCCCTCCACAGATTGTATACCTGGTCTCTGACTCCCCACAGTGATAAGTGGTTCTATAATTCTTACGAAGATTTTTTTTCTTCTGAAGGCTTGGGGATAACAGAAGAGATTTGTAATTCAGAGAAAACAGAGCTGGAAACTATAAATAGTCCTTCTCACTCCAACACTCAAGCTCTTCCGACAGAGACACTTTTTTTTTTCTCAGTCCTAGTCAGCTTGTCCTTGTAGGTACAGAATACACAAGTCTTCTTGTGGTGGTGGATAACCATTACTGATAGTATTATAAAGCCAAAGAAGATTTTTTTTTTTTGCTTTTGGATCACACCCAAAAAGTGCGATCCACAGGGGTTACTCCTGGCTGATGAACTCAGGAATTACTCCTGGCAGTACTCAGGGGACCATATATGATGGATGATGCTGGGAATCAAAACTGGGTTGGACCGCATGCAAGGCAAATGCCCTACCCACTGTGCTATCACTCCAGCCCCCAATACAAAGAAGATTTAATTTTAAAATAGAGAAGACTTTTTGATTTCTTAGTGATTGTCCTCTAATTGTTATTCCTTCACAATGAGTCCACTCTTCACAGCTAAGAGAAAATTCACATTTCTAAGTGAAAAATGGCTGTGGATGATTGTTCTCATATGATACCATCTTCTTGCTGCTTTGCAGAAGATTTTAGCCCCTTGATCTTG